TTGTGTGCAACAAGACAGAGGAGAGAAGTCAGGAGAATCAAAATAATTTATCAATATAATTGAATCAAAAAAAAAGAAACAAACAGGCTGCACACCTTCACACAAACAGGTTATAACATTTTTCGAAATAGAAGTGGACGGCCAACCTGACAGAAGCAACCATATACGGTAGGCGGACCGACATAGTATACACAGTGTGCCCCTTTCACAACCCTTTCCCAGAAGGCAGGATCCACCACAATGTATACTTATCAAAAGAAACTAAACAGTGATCTTGTTACCACAGTAGCAGCTGAGTTTGTTGTATCAAAGCATATTAAGCAACTACTATTATGATCACAATAAGGAGGATGATGCCAAATATCACCAAAAGTAAGCAAGCCTGAAAATTCAAATTAAAAAAAAAAAAGGAGTTAGATGTACGGACATCAACATAAAATACGGATATAGAGTTACAAAGTTCGTTCACCATTTATAAGTTTGTGGTTAAGTTCTCAGGCATGAAAACTTGACTATGAGAGCACGAATACCACAGTACATACAACAGCGTTAATATTTGGATATCTTAGATGATATTAGAACCAGAGATCCACTTCTCAATCATAACAAGAATGAGGAAAGAACGAGTTCGACCTTCAATTAATGGTTATACATAGATGTTATTTATGCGTGCAAATTTTACTCTACTTAGATAAACTAGAGACAGCTTCAACCGACTCTTAAGATAACAGAAGAACTAACCAGAGACGAATTTGATTTTTGTGTCTTGGAAGCTTTTACAAGCTGAGTTGTTCCCTGTGACGTTGCAGCATGGGCACCCTCTATGTTGGATCCAATATCATCTACAACATGGGAAGATAGACATGAATAACTTGAGCCAGACACGTAGCTGCAACTTCCTAAATTAAAGTCACTAACCAATCATGGCTCCCTGTTCATGGACCAGAACTGCAAGATCTTTAAAAATTTCATTGACTTCTCCAATTTGCTGCTGGATTTCATGAATACCTTGCTCTCTTTCCTCAATTATTGCCTCATTGAAGGCTATTTCATTGTCCAAAAGCAAGACCTCTTGTCTGCACAAGTCATTCAGTCAAATTAAGATACTTATATACCTGCCTAATTGTAATCAAGACGCAAAGTGAGGAACAGGGAGCACATTTCAGAGAAATATTGTATGTGGCATGGCACGAAACATGTGATGACAAAAAATCCAATGAAACCTAGATAGGCCATACAAAAGATAACAACCATGATTCTGGTAGCATCAAATAATTGCTTATTTTATAGATCAAATAATCCTGTCTGACATAGGCCCGTATTTGGAACAGAAATTCAACTGCATAATCATTCTGCTAGACAACCCTAAGCCAATAATCAATCACCTAGCATCTAAATGCGGAGATGGAACTGTTACCTCCTGGATTCCACAAGGAGGGCACGCTGTTCAAGACTCTTTTCTGAGCTTACTTCTGACTCACTGGCTGTGTAGCTGTACATATAAAGAAGGGTGAGAAACCAAAACCACATTGCATTTCAAATGTTATTAACTTTAATAAAGTGTAATGTACAAAAACAAGGGGAAAATAATATTCTCAAGTAAATTCAGTATAGTCTATAATCAAATACTCCGTGCAAATAGTTTATGTCAGAAGGAGCAAACCAATACATGTCTTTGGGTAAATATCTTACTTACTCTCCTTTTTGTATCTCTCTCTCCTTTCAATGAAATGTAACTTCTCTCTTTTTTTCCTATTTTGAAAAAAAAGACATACGTTTATGATAAACCTGACATACCTAGAAGGAAGAACGGCTTGGGGAACAAAAGGTGTATACGCCGTTTCCCTCTCAGCTGCAAGTCGTTGAGCCTTCTGAAATTCTTTCAGCACTGCTTGAAAATCTTTTGCAAGTTTAGCATCTGCAATTTTCTTACTAGCCTGCAGAATTATCGCATTGTTTGAAAAAAGTAAGAGAGGGTTCATTTTCTAGTTACTAACGTAACTAACCAACATACATTATGCCCTAACTCATATACACATACTCTGTTCTCGTTAATGGATTCGAGTGGAACTTATTCCAATTCTACACCACAATAGAGGGGTATTCTTCCTTACTGAGTAAGTAGGATTTAACATCCAAGCTTAACATTTTCTCACCATCTCACTGACACTTAGACTTAGTTAATTAGATATTCTTCTCTGAAACTTCCCTATAATTCCAAAAATTCAAGGATGTCCAATATCTAATTGGTTATAGGATCAGTAGGGTTCCAGTATACAGCTCAAAGTTGTCTATATTAATATTTAGACTAAAATAATGGCCAATTTCAAATTATATGAAAATATGTATACATGAAATGACGGATAGTAGTGAAAACTAAATAATGTAATCCACCAACAGAGTGCCACTTCGTAATTTTATACTGAACAAATCCACAACAACACAATCAAATTGGAAAAAAAGTTGAATCTTTAAACTCTGGTCATGCCAAATCAACAGTAATATGATATGGTATTGGTACATAACTCGTCTATTTTAGCAATATTAAATATCCATCCATTTAAGGAACACGTATATCAAACTTAATATTTGCCAAAGTAAAAACCAAAACAAAGGGAGGGAAAGGAAAAAGAAGCTAGCCAGAGATGACATCTATAAATAATCAATGTATTTGGAATTGGATTAAATACTAGAATGAAGAACTACTCCTGCTGCCTCCTCAGTTGGTATTGCTATTGTTGTAATATATCATTTTCATTACGTGGAAAGATTTTTTGAAGGTTGATTATCTGTTGGTATGTATTACTTTTAGAAGCATTAAACACAGGTCTTGATATAAAATTCCATTAGCCATTA